CTATATATATATATATATATATATATATATATATATATATATAAACCACAGCTTCGTATAATAAATATCTTTTAATTGGAATTTAATATTTGGAAGGTTCGTAATTATAGAATGAACATGTATTTTAACCTTCTCTTACAACCTACCAAAGGAAGATATTTCCAAGTGACGTACACAAGTAGCACAGCATGCATAGTAGGCCTTCAACACCCGAAGCAGCTCGTAGGAATCGAGAACTCGTAATCGTACAATAACCAACAAGAATTACAACACAAGGTGACATGCAGAGTAGCGTGTTGTTGCCTCTCATTTTATACCATCGATTCTCGTTCTATTCACAAGCCAACTTGGTGTCAAAGCTACTTAGGCAGATGGCAAAAGCCTGGAAGGCTGAAAGTGGGTACCGGTAGTCCATGGTGAACGTATCCTTTGCCACCTTGCCAAACTGCAGTATAATCTTATCATGACCTGATCCAGACGGCTGAGCCGTCGTCGTCGTCGGGGGGCCAACCGCAGCAGGCTGTGTTGCAGCTATGAGCTGGAAGTTCTTCACGGAGGCGATGGTCACCCGGCCCCGGAAGTTAAGACACCAGCACTGCAGCTGCTCATGCCACCTGGGGGGTTTGTTCCGCAGCACCAACGGTCTCTCCTTCGTATCGGTAGTAGCCTCAAACCCCTCTTGAGCTCCGCCGGCGGAAGTGGCAGAGAAGCGAGAGCTGCTGAAATCTAAAGATCGGTCCATGACGGAGGAAAGGGATGACATGCTGCGGAAGGAATCCTCCAAGGAGCATGTAACTAGGTTGTCAGGTTGGCCAGGGACGACGCCGCCAGGCTCTAGGGCTGATGCGGGAACAGAGTGCATGATGCAGTGCATTCGGCGTGGTCCTCGTGTGCCTAGGACATTCAGTTCGTAAGTTACCTGAGCTATGGGGTAGCTGCCTGACGGGACCTTGGGAGAGACTTTCTTGGAGTAAAACCTGCGGCTTGTTCGTCCCGGAGGACACAGAGCAGCCCCATTGTATGGAGGCTGGGTGTCATAGATCCTGAACTTGGTGCCAATAAAATTTGACCTATGATGAATGCCAGAAGGAAGCAACCAAATTTAGGATTCTCGCCTCTAGTTCAATTTATAGAGAAAGATTTTACAATTAAAATCCAGTACCTCAACTTTCCGACGTAGGTGCTGCTTGACCTTGATATGTTACCAGCATCCGTTGAAATGACATATTCTGTACAGGTTGTCCTTGGGTTCCTTTTAGCTGATAGGAGGAACTTCCCATTCTCAACAAGCACAGCTACATAAGAAATTCAACAAAAAAAAAAATCATTAAATTTCAAAAACAAAACAAAGACAATATATGCAAAGAAAAATAATTTCTTGCACCATTGGAAAAAAAAACGGAACACAGGCGAAATTAAAAATTGGCTAATGGAAGGATAATCTACAGCGATGAAATCCCTAGGGAGATTGATCAGCACAAGGAAAAAACCAGCCTAAATTCCCAACTTGAACGTTAGCTCTGCATATACGACAAAATACATGAAGAGTTTGTACAAGGAGATCACACTTTTACAGAAAAACTGATGAAGCACAAGAATTTATAGAAGAAAGAGTGGCTGGCTATGTTAGGAAAAGGTGAAAGGATGACAATAATTGCATCAAATATAAGGGATAAACAATATTGTAGTTACCTGAGCAGATATTTATCATCGTTATTGTGACCAAGAAATAACAATATCTACTTAAAAGGAAAAAAATCGGCATACAGGATCGAAGATGCTTCTGGTATTTAGCGTAGAATGTTTAGCAGATAAAATACACAAACTTATGTCCCAACACAAAGCCCTATGTTTGTAGAATCTACTTTGGAAGTGTGTTGCCCACACACGTGTCGGTCACGTGGCTCTTCTTGGCATCCAGAACAATGAGCAGGATCCAAGCCGGTAGTTCCATTTGGTGCCCGAGGGTTGGAACCCAAGGAAAGAAATAAGCCCACCCTATCATACTATAAGTAAATTGTACAAGCAAAAAGCATGAAATCTCTGGATAAAAAATAATAAAAACACATAACAATGAATAAAATCAGAAAATAATAAAATGAAACTAGATGAAATATAAAATGCATTGACCTTTCTAAGATAAAGTAATGCAATATGGAGTGGAACAAACTTACGAAAAGAAAGATATGCACATAATCCCTATAGTGTAGATACACACAGCACAGACCAACATATAGTAAATGACATAAAAAAAATTAGTTGAGATCGATGACATGAAGAATAAGATATTATTATGAAGCACCAGAATAGAAACAGCAATGTCGGAACCATAGAATCATAAACCAAACCGAAGAGTAAGCACAATTAAGAGTAACAACATATAAGGAATTTTATTTATTTATTTAGGATAGTATGAAGAGAATCTGCACCTAGGATATTTGTTAAAAACCATTTCATAAAGTGGTTATCACCGTGGAGACAGCTAAAAGAACAAGTTATATCTTGCGTGGAAGGAATCCTAACTCCATAAAATGGTGAATGACACCTATATTTACTTGTTGCCTAAATGGGTTTAGATAAACGGAAATAAGAAACCCAAAGTCAACCTTTTCATTAAGCAGGCTACCAACATGGTCAGTTGTAAACTTGATTGGAAAAGGGGCACGACTTAAGACTAAATCACCGAAGAATTTCTTTGTCTTTATTTAATTGACCACAAAGAAAACAGGCAAACCTTAATATGATATGGTGGAAATGTCCTTTATAAAAGAATAAATTGTTCATATCTCTACACATGCCTGTTTTGCACGTCACATGGGAATGCCCCGTGTAATGGGGAACATGTAAACGAAACTTATATGTACTACTTGTTTGGAGAATTTATCAATGAAGAGCAAGCTTACCAGGACTAAGACACAGATAAAGATGATAAGTTAATTTTGACTTGTCCCTTTTAATGAAACACTGGATCATCCCATCTCGAGGTCCAGGCTGCACAAACAAAAAGCCAGAAATCAATGAAGTATTGAAATTTTAATAAGTGTAACAAAAGCAACTCCCAGACTTAAAGATGTGTGACGTTGTCTCACATCTATTGTGTCACTAGTAACTTGGTCAGGATAAAAATATTACCTGTTTTAGTGATATCGGAAAAGTAAGCTTCCCACAAAACTCTGGACTTCTAACAATCTCTTTACACATCTCCCTCCATGCCCTGCACACACCAGCACAATCTACAACATGCTTCCGTGATGGCCACGTCGCTTCATTTTCCTCCAACCTTCTAATCACATCACGAAGTAGCTCAGGAGGAAGGGTAGCCCAGTGGCTCTGTTGGGTAATTTGAGAGAAATCATGTGGCTCATTCTCAGAACTATCAGATTTTCCTTTATGATGACCCAGAACTCCTGAAAGTCTCACTTCAAAACTTCGCCTTGACAAACTACCAAAGCTATCCCTTACATCACGAACTATCCTACGAAACGACATCTGGGCTGACTTTAAGTAGATACGTATGCAGAACAGAGCTGTTGCACATACAAGGGGCTAGCAGTACAGTGACAAGGGATCAATGAGGTGGTCTTGGAAAGCATATATAAAAGCAGATGTTTGAACAGGCAAAACTTTAATCTCATTACCTTGCCAAGGATTTAATGTATCCACGAGCCACAAAAGGTTTCACGTGCTCAGTCTCAAAGGATTATATGGCTGCCAAAACAGAACCAGTGATTGAGTGGATTGTCCAAGAAATCAGCATAATTCATTAACTTATATAGTTCAATGATCTAAGCTTCCAACTAGTCATCAGCCGCATTACCTTGGAAACAAAAGGACGTTATCACAAAATATCACGATTTAATTGCACAAAAACAAATGGTTACAAAGATGAGACGACCTATGCCATGATCACAGAGAGCCAATGTAATGCATGGTAAAGAAAGATTAAGAACATTGCATAGGTCCATCACCTGCCCTCGATAGATTTATGTTTTCCAATAACAAAGTCGGTGAACATCCATCTAAATTGGAGCTACTTATGTGAATTAGTTATCACAGCAAAACTCCTGTATAAGGCTTCAAAACTTAATGTCTCTCTTTTGAATAAAGTCATATCAATTCAGTTTCCAAGAGTTATAATAAGAATGAAAAGAGAAGGAATTCAAAACATGAAACACATTTGGCTTGAATGCAAACGATCTGATATAAAATCACTAGTAAATTCTTGATCTAAGATGAAAAGTCAATGATTAGCTTCGTAATTAAGAAAACAAAAGAGGTTAAAAGATTGCATAAAATATTTTTTTTTCTTTTAGTTTGCCATGAGAACCGACCACATGAGACACCAAGTGACCACGTTTATGGTAATCTCTCTCTCCTTCCCCTAAAAACAGGGGCTTAGGTGGGCAGAATCGCCCGGCATGAATCATGGACACAAAGAACTAGTCTCGCCCTCATCTCATTTTAGCAATCAGACGTTGGCGCAGGGAACTCATCCAGTTCCAGCTCCGCAACCAGTGTCGACATGCAGCGAACCCTAGGAAGAAGTCACAGGCAACAAAATAACCTCACAAATGGGCGATGTATTTTCCAGATCAAGGGAACGGAACCACCAAATCAAACAATTTCACAACTTCTCATGATCACCTCGAGCTAAGTGAGAGATCAACGGGGAAAAATCAGAAAGACGCGATGAAGACAAAACAACTCCGAGATCGGACCTTTAGCGTTCAAAACACCAGGCCTCGAGGCTTCTCCGCAAAACCCCCAACCCAATCGCGAGATGATCCAAGAAAACACCAAATTTCAGTCAAAACCCCCGAAATACCAAGCGGTTCTTTCCAAGTATGTGCGAAATTCTCCCAAGAAAGACGTCGATAATGCACACAGCTCTCAATCTATAATCGCTGGACGAAAAAGAAATGAGCGGAACCCACAATCTACCTCGAGTGTCTTGAATCGAGATGCAAGAGCCCCCAAGAAACGCACAACTCCACGCAGCAAACCCGAACCTTCGAGTCGGTCCCAAGAAAGGAATCGTCCCTCCAAGAACCCCCCCCGGATCCCTTCCTTATCGCCGCTTCCTCTCTCTCTCTCTCTCTCTCTCTCTCTCTCACGCGCACACACACCGAAGGCGGTGTCTTGCGAAGGGGTAAGGGTGGGAAAGTAGGCGCGTCCGCCACTTAAGTGTCGGCCTCACGCGACGACACATATGTACGACCCACATGGGCCATAGTGTAAAGCCGCCAATCGCAGGGCTGGTGACGGAAGACGGTAAGACGATAAGCATCCGTTTCGTATGAGACCTTTAAGGAGCGGGCCTACCCGCACCGTCGCGTGACGGGAACCACGGACTGCGCGCGCCTCCTCCGCCACCCGCCGCCCGCTGTCCGTTCGGATAACGGCTCCGTTGGTGGCCTCGCCTGGCGATGGCCTTAACGCGATCAAGGAATCTGGATCCTTGATCGGAGATCGAACGGCTGCTGGGCGATCACGAAGTAGGCATCCTTGGATTAGGAAGAAGAACACGACCCAACGATGGAGGTCTATTTATCGTCATGTAGTTGTGGTTAGTAGATGTTTTATATCTAAATTATGGATGAAAGAGTACTTTACTCTTAACTTCCTTTAGTTGAGGCACCAAAAGAACAAATAGGACCACAGAAGATGCTTCCATTCAATGATCGACACATATAAATAGGCAGATGAAGAGCCAAAACATCCACCAAACCTCATGGATTGTCACGAGGAAAGCTTGACAGTACGTTAGATTTGCAATCGAAGCACTTTAAACGACTTCAAGAGTTCAAGTTTTATTTTGGATAACTCTTCTGATTAAGATTATATCGTACTATCAAAATGTCAACTAAGTCGCGAAGTACTCTTGTGTCAACTTCTCGAACTTAGCTGGGATTGTCTAAATCTTGATGTGCCCTTGCGATATACATCCGTAAAGATTAGTCAGTTTGTAACCTCACTCAAGTTCTGAAGGACTTGCAAAAAAGAAAGTTAATTAGTTCGAAAAACGAATGACGGACAAGTCCTGACGTTTCGCGAAAAAGAAAGCTTTACAAGTAATTCAACGAGCACCTTGCGTGCATTAGAGAAAAGAGAAAGAAGAAAAACAATGATTTTAGAATGTAGAACTAACGGTACTCATCGGGTGTCGGGACACATATATAATTATATGATATTAGTAAACTGTAATTATATGTCCACCAATAGTTCCAATGATAAGAGGGATTAAACAATGGAATAAATAAGATTTAGCTATTATTTGTGTGCCAATATCAATCGCACGAGGGAGAGGAAGGTGAGTGTATAGTGGTCCAACATGGATCCACCTCAATTAGTAGTACCAAACACATCATTGGTGTGGAGGCCCACAAAAGGGATTTGGGTCAATAATTGCCCTAAAGCAGCACTTCATTCGGCTTGATGTGGGTGTGTGGTCCATAGCTCACGGGAGATCATCAATGTAAGCAAAAGAAGTTATTTTGATGACTAATTATTATTTTATAATTATTTTATAAGAACATCGAGCAATCGTAAAAATATTTACGTTTCGAGATCAATAGTTTCATGACTCAAAATATGATTATTTGAGATGAGAAAATTTTAAAATTACCTAAATGTTTACTTTTTCTCTATAGTATCTGGAGTCATATATCTTTGTGTTTTTTTTTTATCTTTTTGTGTATCTGTCATGTCGGTATGTACACAATTGTGTGTTTATCATTCTCAACATGCATGTGACGGGATATAACATGCATCTCGAGTTATATCGTTGCGACTCTTACATTCTATATATTATCATGGTGGTGGCATAAGCGTATCATATCGCATGACGTATTCATACATTATCAGTTGATAACATTTTAATGAGCAAAAAACAGTTACAAATTGGTTCTTATGCAATCAAATTTTTAGTAATTTTTTGGCACCCTCTGAGTCCTACTTTAGAGTCTATGAATCGTCTGATTCTTTTTCATGATTTTTTTATTCTTTTAAGTTGCTAAAGGATCTTGTACGAAAGACGATACTAATCCAAGAAATATGTTTTACGATAATATTTGCATGCTTCCATGTTCTGTCTTGTTGGCTTTCTGTTTAGATTTATAAGATTTTAGTCTGCTTTTGTTTTGATAGGAGATTAGATGTTTTTTATTTCTGTGTTTATATCTTCAAAATCATAAAAGAACAAATTGACACAGTGCTATGATTGGGTTTTGCTATGTTATGATAATAGTGTGTCAAAAGCTTTACCTCAAAATCATAAGTTGAGAACAAGATATCAGCAGCTACTCCAAAGTCATTGTCACACAGATGCCATTCACAATGCAATTACTCCCTGATGTGATGATTGCAGCAAGAAACACACCTCCATGTGTATTTGTACTGTTATTTAAGGCTACCTGCTCCCAACCACAACTTTGCAATGCCATCTTAGGCTTCTGTGGTACAACAATGAGAGGTCAACTATACATATGGACCCATACCATTGCCTCCTCAACTTTGTAGCAAAGAAGAACATGGTAAGGGGAGCTTTGATTGAGCCCTCACAGAAGAGCATGAGGCTCTTCTGCCATCTCCACTTCTTCTTCTTCTTCTTCTTCTTCTTCTCCCTTGTCTCAGTTGATATAAAGTATACATAAAATGCATGTTGTCCATTGCATGATCCTCATGCAGTGCTGAGGTGAATGATGTTGTCTAATGACGACCAACTCTCACCACAAAAGAAACGGAAGCGTTTGAGATCATCAACGAGTCACCCAACTGCTCCAAACAAAGTACAAAGAATACTCGAGTATTCTACAGGAAGCTGAGCTTTTGCTGACTTCTGAGACATCATCTATTTTATTGATCAAGCTTATCCAACCTGAGCACAGTGACAAAGTCTCTGTGCTTAGGTTGTAGCCACCATCGACCCAACCCAGTGCATGAATCAGGATAAGCTTCGGCAAAGGTGAGTGATTAATAATGTGGAGGTGCAAAGGTCATCCTTCCTCATGGTTGCAGTATGACTGTGTTGAACAGTGACAGCCAAACTACTCCCATTTATTTGATGCCATCATCTTCCATGCTCAACAGTCTACGGAGAGAGGGAGGGAGTCTGTGATATCTATCGAAACCACGCTTGCTTGCCCCATGAATCCGACACTCCTCACAAGCAAGCAGGCCATACAAATCTAATCGATGTCTCGACAGCTCCCGTAAACCAATACATGTTATATTTCATTGGATTAATTTCCCTTTGTGATGGATTAATTTCACTGCAAATCCCACAAGACATGCTATGAGAGTGCTTCTTATGTGTCACAAAAACGGATGGATATTTCTGCTGAAAACATTCAGAATCAATAAGGGTGCAAAACATCTAAAGAAAACAAAAGCCAAAATCTCACATCTTACAAGTTACAGAATGGGATTTGTTTGGGGAGCTTCACCATCCTCTTTGAATCCACCTTTTATAATAGGCTGCCCAAAACCCAAATCACAACATCACAATCATCCCTTAGAAGCTCACTATTTACCCTTTTTTTCACTATTCATAAGATATTGGTATTGATGATTCTTTAAAAAATAATAAAAATATTATCTTACTATTTATGATCTTATATTACCAAATTTATTTTTTTTTTCTTTTCCATAGTCTTTTATTTTATCCTCGTCTTCCAATCCCACTAGTTGTCCCCTTAACATTATATTACGAGGAAAAAGAAACAGAGAAAAAATAAAAACAAAAAGAAAATAATATATATATATATATATGAATAATTTAGAAATTAAAAAATAAAATAAGATTGTAAATAATAATCAAGTATTTGTAAAGAAAAATATATATTTTTTGAAGAGAGAGAGATAGTGCGGATCCACTAGTAGCTTTTAATTCATGGGTACATGTGTTGTTGGATAAAGGATCAAAGTTTTTAATTAATTAATTTTAGTATTTCGATCCTTATACTTTTAAGAATTATATTGAGATCCCTATACTTATGAAAATAAAATATTTAACATCATTTCTTCTCACATCGTCGACTTTATTGATGAAAATATCATAGGATTTATCATTGAGCGACTCTATCTTACTTCGATTTATCATTGAGTATGTTTAATATTTTCGTCAATAAAATCAATTATGTGAGGAGAAACGAGATTAAATATTTCACTTTCATAAGTATATGAATTCTAATATAATTTTTAAAAGTATAAAAATTAAGATACTAAAAATAATATGTAATTAACCAAGAAAAGATGAGTGACTTTCTTGTTCTTATCTCAGATTCTCCATATATATTGCTCGGAAGGAAGGCGTTGGTTTATGTTCCATGGGCCTCTTCACCTCTATTTGCTACCTCTGTTTCTTTGTCCCCGAGAAACAAGTAGAGTCGAACCACAACTGATTCGGAGTCGATCACTGTGATAATACCTCAATAACTTGTCCGTTCCGAACATTGATTCGGAAGGATATCAAAGAAATGAACCGAGAATCTCAAACACTCTGTCGTCACGACCACTGTCAAGAAAAAGGTTGCAAGGTGGCTGTCTTATCTCGGAAAAGGAAAAGGGGCAAAGGAGGAGCTTTAATATGTTGTCACCTTCGACTCTATCATTACACTGATTATGATTCCCACTAGCATTATCATGGCTGACAATGAATTGCCGTATTTATATATACATATACGTTATTTCCATGGGAATCAGCTGCAGAGGAGTGAAGAAGGACATGCATACGAGCGTCTCACTCCGATCGGATGCCTCGTGGTAAGAAAGAGGACGTGATTTTGAGGTAGAAACCACATGCACAACGTTGATGAAGAGATGATGTGCATAAATCACACTCGCTACTATTTGGCTTCCCATTTCTCCACAACATTTATTCCTCCACCAACAAGCTTAGGAGGAGAGGCAGCTTAGACTACTCCCATACAGTTCTGAGCTCACCACGACATGCGGACGAGAGATCAAAGGGCACTGACGCTGAAGAGCCTCATGAGCCCGAAGGTCACGGCCATGGCCGCCCATCCCCCCACCACCGCCCGCAGGCACGACCTCCCCACCGGAGCTCGGCCCAGCACCGCCCCGACGGATCCGAACACCACAAGCGCTGCGCTGGCCGCCGCTGCCACCACCCCCAGCCTCACCTTGTAGTTGCCTATGAACCCGGCTGCCAGGAGCGGCACCACCGCCCCCAGCGAAAATGCCAGCGCCGACGCGGCTGCCGCCTGCACCGGGCTCGGCAGCCGATCGGCGCTTGCTCCGTCGCCTTTCGTCTGTAGCTCCCGCTTCATCTGCGCCACCTCGATATCCAGCTGTGCGTACACCGAGACGAACTCCCCGATGGCCATGCTGCATGCGCCGGCGACGAGGCCGGCGAAGCCCGAGATGATCATGGCCTTAGGGTCGTCCTTCACCGCCCCAACTCCCATCATCAGCGATGCGGTGGAGACGAGCCCGTCGTTGGCCCCGAGGACAGCCGCGCGCAGCCACTGCGCCCGCTGGGTGTAGTCTTGCTCCCCGACGTCGGGCGCTTGGCCTTCCACGCCTTCGAGGGAAAGCTTGGTGTCACCGAGGGCCATGGGGTGCGTCGGCAAGGAGAAACAATAAGCAAGGGTGGTAGAAGAGTAGTGTGGCAGACACACGCCGTGGCGAGGGCTTTATAATGGTGAAGACGGATGATGGTGGTGGCACTAACTAGTGGGCGACGCCGGTACACCTCTATGGCATTATCAAACAAGATGGGTCCCGATGCATGTAGCAGAACAGTGGTAGATAAAGGCAGAGAGATAGGCAACTTTGTAGTGGTAGCAGCTTACAAGATTTCCATGGACATGTACTTTGAGAAGCTTGGAGCGAAGGACAAGGAGGCTCAGAAGTCAAGGACTCACCAATCTCCTGCAAACAAGAATTGTCTGTGAGCCTTAGGAGTTAAATGATACACGTTCTACAGTCTTAATGAAATGGATTCCATGAATGAACTGGCTAGAACAGTAGAAAGAATGAGGAGCACTTGTGGTTTCTTCCGACCATTTCTGGGAGTTCCATTAATTACATGATGCCGTTCGTGAAAGTTTCAGGAGGTGACCAAGCTCACTCTTTAGGGTAAGCATAAGGAATCAGATAGACTGGTGTACATATGCTTTAATGCTTTCTTTCCTTCCTCTGTCTCCCTGCATTTCCTTTCCTCTGTTCGGTTTGCTTTAAGAACCATATTACCACTGGTCTCACAGGTATCAGACGCACAAAGGAGGGTGATTAAAGCGTCATATCATCATGTTCTCCAATCGATGTCAAGGACAACATGAACATAAATATTATTGGTACAGGTTTGCTCATGGATTGCTGAATAGACCAGCACCAGGGTGGCTGGTGCTGCAGGACACCATCTGTGGCATTACTAAATGGGAAGGGAGTATGCATTCCACACGACTGCCAGCCACTCGCAATGGGGAGGCCTTCAATAATTGTCTCTTCTTGTCCCTTCCCCCACTGCTCCCCGAGCAGTCGGTGCTGTAATCAAATCGTGTATGTGGTCTTCCTGTGATCCATCTCTTCTGGGTGGAGACTCCTCAGATTGACTACCTAGTGTTTGTCTAATTCAACATCTCTAGTGCTTAAGTGCATGTCCCTTTTCTTTGTCTTTTCTTTTCTGGTCATAAGATAAGGTGCAGCTTCTTATCTCTCATCAGCATGATTCACAGCTTTAGGATATCTTATTTTAGTAGGTAAGCCATGAGCATGTTTTGTGCATAGGTAGAAGATGATCAGAATGGTGTGGTAGCAGCACCAGAAGAACTGCTGTAGTTCATCATTTCGAAAGAATTAATTCGCCAACAACATTTAGTTCATCTTATCCCTTTGTGCAGGTCCTAAAAGTCGATCAGGAATCAGTCAAAGCAACACGATGACTCTTGCTTTTGCCAACAACACAAAATCGTAGAAGATTGACCCTCGGTCAGATAAAAGGATTCTTACATGCAGCAGGTGATCTTGATCCACCAATGATTGTGCTGGGAATCCAGCTATGGCTTGGCCACTAACCAAGCTAGTGGATTCCAAAGATAAAAAGTCTTGTTCACCATATCTGCCTGCCTAGGAGGGGACTTTTCTGCTTTAGGATCATAGAGCAAACAAAGCTCATGAACAAGAAGCTCGAGTGTAGCCTTTGGATCAATGTATGCTGGAAACAAATGAACAAACCGGAAAGCAAGCGTGAATCAGCTTGCACCATGTTCCATGATGTGTGTGTGTGTGTGTGATGCAGACATACAACTGAATTACCTCTTGCTTTGTGTCCACTATCTGATTTGCTAGCAGATTCACCGTGAATCGTCAGTTTGCTCTTTGATCAGCCTCTGTTCAGGCTGAGAGGTGGGACAGTGGAGTGATGGGCGGCCTCATGGATTCATCATCTGGCATCTTAGATTCCTTGAATCTTTGTTGTGTACCGAGCCAGCGATGCAAACAAGAAATTCCTATCTAATGTATCGAGAAGGAAGGATGCTGACAACACAAGGCATCGACTTCTTCAACCGGTATCAGCTATGGACAGATGCTCGTGGTGGATAACTAAGCTGCTTGAATCACAATGACGACAGGGGCAATTGGTATTAACGAGGAAGAAATCCTCTGCAACACTTCAGACGGAGTCGTCCATGCATGAAATCGAAAGCACGGGGCCGATATATACATGTTGGGTTCCTTCGGAGCACCTCACTTCTGGAGTTGCAAGTTATGGACCTGAGTGGCACACAGATCCTTGCATCGTTCTTCGTACTCGTAATCACAGGTTTCGTATGGCTGCGATCGTGGAAGCCCCAAATGGAGATGAGAAAAATCCCAGGGAACATGGGTTGGCCTCTGATAGGAGAGACACTCTCGTTTCTGTCCGACTTCTCGAGCCCTTGTGGTATCTACAGCTTCATCAAGAAGAGGCAGCGCAGGTTTGCATGAATTCCTGGAACAGGCTCTGTAATCAATCTACGGTCTCGATCTCTACATTGCATCTTGACCATGGCTTCTCTCTGTTCCTCGCCGTCAGTCACGGAAGGGTGTTCAAGACGAGCATCTTGGGAAGGCCTACGGTGTTCGTGACCGGAAGGGAAGCGAGCAGAATCTTGTTGTCCGGAAAAGATGGAAGCGTGAGCCTCAACCTGTCGTACGCAGGCAAGCAAGTTCTCGGCCCCACGAGCTTGCTCACCACGGCAGGTGAGGAGCACAAGCAGCTTCGCCGATTGATCGCTGAGCCCCTGTCGGTGGATTCGCTCAAGCGGCACTTCCAATTCATCGATGACTGGGCGATCAAGACGCTGGAGGGGTGGCCCGGGCGACCGGTGTTCGTCCTGGAGGAGGCATCCACGGTAAGCCAAGAAGATCGATGCGCAAGCACTGAGACCTTTGATTCACCGTGTAAATTCCTCGTCCTCTCCCGATGGCAGTTCACTCTCAAAGTGATCACCAGCATAATGATGAGCTTGGAGCCAGCCGGAGGTGAGCAGGACGAGTTTCGCGCAAATTTCAAGCTTATATCATCCACCTTTTCCTCCTTGCCTCTCAAGATCCCCGGAACGACGTTCCACCGCGGCATACAGGTAATGCACATGATCCGTGGAAGATTCAAGCAACAGGAAAACCAAACTATGATGATGCTCGTGGTGCTTGAATGGCGCAGGCTCGGAACAGAATGTACGCGATGCTGGACTCGATGATCTCCAGGAGGAGGAACGGCGAACACGAGCACCACGATTTCCTGCAAACCCTCGTGAGAAAGCACAGCAAAGAAGACGAAGATGGCGGTGATGATGCAAATAAGCTGACCGACACGCAGCTGAAGGACAACGTGTTGACTCTGCTTATCGCAGGCCATGATACGACCACCGCTGCACTTACTTGGCTCATCAAGTTCCTGGGAGAGAACCCCCATGCTCTGCAAAATCTCAGAGTAAGTGCGAACTCAATGTTATGTTGCAACACTGATTCTGGAGTCTCAGAACGACTATTCTTGGCAGGAAGAGCACGGTAGGATCCGAAATGCTAGAAACGGCAGCTCACATCTCACCTGGTCTGAAGTCAATAGCATGCCTTACACCAACAAGGTGAGCGTGAGATCATCCAAGTCATTCACGAACCTCGACTGCATTGAATCGCTCACCTTCATCTTCTTGAAACCCAGGTGATAAATGAAACACTGAGAAAGGCCACCATCCTACCCTGGTTTTCCAGAAAAGCACCTCGGGACTTCACCGTCGATGGTTGGAAGCTGCAAATTAAACCCTGCGTAGGTACGATTTCTGCCGAAGCAAGTTGACCCCTAAGTTTCTTGAATTCCTCAGGTCATTCGATAAAGAGGGATTGGTCAGTGAATGTGGACGTCGTATCGATGCACCATGACGCAGATGTCTTCCCCGACCCCGAGAAATTTGAACCTTCAAGATTCGACGTAAGTCGGAGAAACAGAGCAATGTTTCCAGCTGACACCCGAACCATTCATGCATCTTGTACGATTGCTGCAGAAACCACTGAAGCCATACAGCTTCTTGGGGTTTGGAAGCGGACCGCGGATGTGTCCAGGAATGCATTTGGCGAAGCTGGAGATCTGCATCTTCATCCACCATCTGATATGCCGATACAAGTAGAAGATCGAAGCAACCGAGAGCTGTTTCCTTCCGAGTAAATGGAACTCACATGGAACCTCTGATTGCAGGTGGAAACCTCTGGATGAAGACAGCAGCTTGCATGCTACTCTGGTTCGCATGCCCAAGAACAAGTACCCCATCACCGTGGAGCCACTGTGAGCGAGTCATGGCGTTTGTACTCTTCCTTCGGATTGCTTCAGTGCAACGAAGAAGAGAAGTCACAAAGAACAAGCTCGAATGTCAAATGCAGTAAACACAGATTGATACATCGACCTGTTCAAGTCGTTGACCCAATTAGCCCCATTAACACGTACGTTATATGCTGGATAGCATAGGGAGACGATGACGTGGGTGAACTCATTGATAGAATAGCAATCACTTGATTGATACAACCATATGATGAAGGGGTACAAAGTCTAAGCTACTTTTCTCGATATTTATTTCCGAGTAATCTTGATGTCTATCTTCGAGTAACCATAAATACGTAGAAACAGTATACTGAACTAACTCGAGATAAACTCAAACCATGGGATGTAATCATGGGTACCAAAAGGAATGCTCGATAGATTGATCTAAAAGAACTAAAGTAGGCCAATCTTGTGCTTCTCATGGTTTCACCGCGAGCTTCATCTAATTAATTATTATAAGTACATTGCCGTAGAACAAATCCAATTGACTGTATCGAAACATGAATGAGAAGCTTCGGTTCATCGTGATGTAAGATTACGTGGAGTCAGAGACAGGGCGTTGATATCGTCAACATGCGTGCCCTACTTATCCGTGCGATCACTTTCTCGATAGCTGCACGTCTCAACTGCAATTACTGCTGGCGGAGCCAAACACCACTTTTCTCTCCTTTCTCGGGGATCGTGTTGCGTGTCCTCGACTCCCTGCGGTCCCGGAGATTTAATACTGGTACTGGTTGAAGAGGTCCCAGTAAGACGCGGGAGAAGGAACGATTCCACTGGATAGGAAGTTGTTGGGACTGGGGAAGAAGCTGTTGATCCCCATGAAGCTCCTGTTGCTTTGGATCGCTGGGCTGAGTTCGTTGAAGAAGTTAATCTGATGCTGCTGAGCGGTGGAGGATGCGAACAAGTCGGGAGATATGCATGGCAGGGAAGAAGGAATCGGGGACAAGATGCCTGCAAACGGACCAGCCGATCGGTCCAACGTCGACGCACCAGCACCGTCGATCCCTAGCAGAACCTCGGCTAGATTCTGCTCCCCCTTCGTCAACCTTTCGCCGCTCGAAGCGTGTGCAGTCTGCGCTGTCTTCTCGAACGTGGCTAAACGAGCAGCCGGAGAGAACAGTTTCTCGGCGGCGTCGATGCGAGGAGACAGCACAGAAGCATCGCAAGGACCATGCGCAGAGAACGACGAGGCGGCTGCGGCGGCGCCCGTGAGACGTTGTACCACCGACATGAAGTCGGTAGGAGTGGTGTGGATGACCTTGGGCGAGACGGTGTAAATTATGATGGGCCGCCGCTGCTGAGGCGGCGGTGCGGCCTGTTGTGGCGCGGCCATCGGAGGTTTCCTTATCTTGTAGGAGTCCTTTCGAACCTTGAGAGGAGTCGGGCGCGGGCCGTGCAGCTCTCTCCGGGATGACTGCTCGCCCATGGGGAGATCAGAGGAAGACATGGTGAGAGCAGAACCGGATGTGATGTGTCGGAGGGACGCGAAGAGATCAGAGAGAGAGAGAGAGAGAGGGAGGAGGATGGATGTAGAATCCGAGAACTCCCACGTGAAATATAAAGACACAACAGGTCAATGGAGTGCACAATGGTATGATGACACAAGAAACGAAATCGGAGAAGAAAAAGAAGCAGTGTCTGACGTTGAACTCGTCCACAGACGGAGGAGAGAAGTTAGATCAAGTAAAAACTCTCCGGGAGCAGCAGACGGCATGCATGGATGATGTCGCCACCCCAACCAGAGCCAGCCAGTTTGGAAGTTTCCAAGTCAAACCAACCACTGGTGGTAGTCAGACGACTAATTAAGGGAGGATTCGGTAGGAATTAGTGGCGTTTAGGAAGATGTCAGGAAGAAGAGGGAGAGGGGTGGCGGAAAGGTGGTGACGTGGAGTCCGGATGCAGTCAATCGGTCAGTCCAGTCAACGAAATCCGAGACGTGGTCAGAGGGAGCGCTGAAGCGATCGAGGATGCTACTTCTTCTTCTTCTTCTTCAACGCCTTGGCTATGCCATTTCCAACCCACACCACACTGTCGATCCGTTCCGTAGGCAGAGAGGACAGAATTGGGTCCCGAAATCTGTGGCATCTACGGAAAGGCAATCATGCGGCTTTGGCTCGGTTCACTTGTCGCATGCAATTCTTAAGATAGTGTTACGTTCTCCGGACGCAGACACAGGTCCTCAGGTGCCTTCTGCAGTCTACCGAATGACGCGTGCTCTTTCTAGAAGCCACACACAGAGAGAGAGAGAGAGAGAGAGAGAGAAGTAAACGAAACATGTGATAGAAAGGAGACTCCCAAGTTTGATCTTACTATTTTGATTATTCATGCTGGTAAGTTTGATCTTATCGAAATCTCGACTTGAACCTAATAATAATAATAATAATAATAAATGGATTGTTATCTTTTGTAGTAGAATGGATCCAAAGTAGTGTGGGAAGAGATTGCATGCAAAGTCAAATCTCAACACGTAGCACGACCTTTTTCACCCACTCGGTTGGCAAAGTCAAATCTCCGTATCAGTTAAAGTAATTTGATTCTAGAAATAGGGTACGAGTGAGAAAGTTCTCTGTCACTTCCTAAATGTTAAAATGATACATATGATGGATGTTCTCATGGTTTAACCTAAAATCTAACAAGCAGGACAGCAGACTTTGAAAAAGATTATTTTTATCCATCGATTATTATATCATATGATCTTATTTAATTAGATTATATATATATATATAATTAATTAATTATTTTAATTATAATTATCAATCAATAAAAAATAAAATAATTATGATATAATTCCTTAAAAGATAAAATTGATGGGATTACATAACTCTCACATCTCTCTTTATTTTCTATTCCTTCATTTATATTAATTCTGAATGATAGAAAAAAAAAAGGAAAATATGAGTTTAATTATCCTTATAAATTAGTATTATTGTTTTCTTCGGATCCAACAATGATGTATATACAGATCAGGTAAAAGTTTTTTTAATGATATCAAAAGTTATACAATCTTGATCTTGATTTATTGTTATTTAATTTTGATTCTATCATTAAAGTTTTTCTATATAACAAAAATATTATTATAGTTTTTTATGTTTATCGTTACAATTTTATTTGATTAAAATAAGATATTTCATATCAAAACATAGGATAACACCTATTAAAATTTCGTTTAGATTTTTTTCTCTCTCTTTAAAGAAAATATTTATGCTCTTATAGCTCATAAAAACATTAGCCTACTTTATGGCAAAACTTATGGCTTGAGTATCAAAGAAAATCAATGAAAATGCCTCAATGCTCTTTAAACTTTATCGACATCTCTGAGCACTAATTAACATATTTATCAACCAAATTAAACAAGACACTCTCTTAGACCCATTCTCTAACTCATCTTATGGTGCTCTTCTAAGTTTGTGATGTTGTTGGTTCTAAAAATAACCTAATCAATAGTATTCTTTAACTCATCTTTACATAGTCCCTATTTTATCATCTATAGTGATTGTATAAATGAAAGGAAAAGAGAAGAAGACGAGTCTAGTTCTCCTTACATATAAGTATTACTATTTCTTTTGGATCAAACGACGGTGCATATATAGATTAAATAAAAGTTTTTTGAATGATATCGAAAAATACGTAACTCTTATCTTTGATATATTGTTATTTATTTTAATTTTGACGTTAAAGTTTTTTGTATAACAGAAACATAATTATAATTTTATGTTTACCGCTACAACTTTGTTTGATTAAAATGATATAATTCATATCAGCACATAGGATAACACCTATTTCAAGTGGCACATCGTTATTCTATTGATATTATAAAATATTATTTATATCTTTCTCTCTCTCTCTCTCTCTCTCTAAATGAAATATTTATTCTCACAAAGCTCACAAAAACGTTAGCTTACTTCATGGAGAAACTTTTGGCTCGAGTATGAAAGTGAATCTCGAGAATGCCTTAGTGCTCGAGAACTTTCGGCATCGCTTATCACTAATTAATATATTCATCGATCCAATCAAACAAGACACTTTCTTAGACCCATTCTCTAACTTATCTTATGATCCTCTTCTAATTTGTGATGTTGATGGTTCTAAAAATGACTCGATCAACACCATCCTTAGAAATTTGTACGAATGATCAACATATGAAGCAATCTAAAAGGTAGTCGAATGGACTTGATAAATAATCAATTATGAAGCCAAGAGAGAGAGAGAGAGAGAGAGATTAAAAGAAAGAGTCATTAGGTTTTATGAGAAATATAGAAAACTAATAAAAGCTATACCCATACGTAGCAAATGACACCCAAAAGTACACGGATTGATACGCCGATGGTGACACTCCCGGTGGCCTTCACATCGTAATTGAAATTTCAGCCACCGTTGTCTTGCATGTCTCACCTACTCGCTCTCTGATTGGACACATCACAATCGGGCCCACCAAAGTCACCTCACGTCTCCGGTGACGTTTCTAAGAAAGAAAGCTTAAACAAGAGAGAGACAGAGACAGAGAGAGGGATGCCAATAACCCGTCGACCATAACACTCACTGAGAACAGAACCCAAACCTTTCGGGCTCGTATCCGTCAATATGTCTCGATGAGAAGGCCATGTTGTTCGTTGATGTTATATCTAACACATCACATGGATCCTACTTAGCCTTCTTCGTTCGCTCTCCTCCATCGCCGAACTATGCTGTTCGTGTCAGATAGATCGTAGCGGTCTCTTCTCTCTTCGTTGCCTCAGTTAATGGGAGGATTTCGACCATCTTTAAGGACAACGTGGCGACTCTTCCGCCGCGAGAAATCTTAATCGACGTACGTAAACTCGGTCAGAGGACGAGGAGGAGCTAAGCGGCCGAACGGGACGGACTTTGAGAGAAGACCATCGATTCCACATCTTAATGATGCGAGATTAACATGGCGAGACTCCTCTTTTAACTCTCAGGGAGATGTGGACGGTGATCCCGACGTTGTTGTCCCTCCTGCCTCGCTCATGGCGAGGAGAACCCAAGCGAGCGACCGACCGACCGAGCCAATGCCGACGACGGCCCTGTCCACGCTGTAGAATCTGACTTTTCCTCCACATAACCATTATGACGAGTTCTTACATGGCTCAAAATTGACTCGATATCTTTAACCTCTCGGATAATTATAATCTACTCGATTTATATTATATTATAAATTACGAAACACTTTACATATTATATACTTATCATTATAATCCTACCGGCGTTGCGTTTAACAGTATGCGACTATTCCTATTACTGCGTTCGAGCAGGGAAGCAAAAGTCAAAAGTCTTCTCATCTCTACCGCCTCGTTAGGTCGACGCTAGTGGCGGTGATATGCGGCAGTCCAATTTTGTTCCACGCATTCTTTTCACGTGCCTTTTCTTTTACTCCCACGATTCGTATCCTTACGCGAGATTAAACCTCACGTGACGGTAATCCTTCGCTTCATCCGTCATCGTTCCCAATTCCAAAATCGAAGTCAATTCGAGGACTAATAACGCCCTACTTTTTTTTTTTACCTCTTGATTTCGTTGTAAAAAGGTCTTTAATTAATTAGAAAGCTAATATGATAAAAGTTTATAACGAGATATCTCAAAATATAAAAATAATATATGAGAGATGTTATGGGAAGAAATTGACGTCCTGATCAGTTCAACATGTCATCAAAATAAAAGCGATCAACTTCTCGTATATTATCTATTTGAAAATCAAGATTGAAATTTTTTTTTTGATTTAATCTTTTCGATGTACATATTAGTAATCCGAGATATATGAGTGTTACAGTGAGTGATAAAAAAAATAATCCCCTCATTTTTATAAAATAAATAAAAATATTTTATAAAATAATTTATTTGAATGATGTTTTTAATCGTTTAAAACAATCCATCGTTGAACTCTTATTTATATACGCGACAGTTCATAATTATTTGTCTTGGACTCTTACATATATGGGCAGACGAATAGTAGATAATCCCTTTTTTTTTTCAATTTGAATTTTATGTGATGATCATATGTATTAATTATCAGTATACTCTAAAAATACAAAAAAGAGATTTGATTCTCCCGTCTTCTAGAGATGAGCATTCATCATCTCACATGATTTAGAAATTTTAAATATTTATTTTCAATTATTTAATAACCGTAATAGAAAATAAATATATAATAATTTAACCTTGGGTCGCAAATATGTATAGCGTAGATTACATGTACGTATGCAAAGCAGAGAACGCAATTAGGCCGCGGGAAGAATCCACGTGACCGATTCCTCTTTCCCAGGTCAGAAGGTGGAACGCCACCGCTTGGCTTATCTGACCTGAGAAGTCGGCGCCGACGAAAGTAAACGCTGTCGGCTCCGCCAATAGAATCTCCCACACAAAGTCAAGAAAAGGGTCAAAACCCCTTTCTTTCTTTCTTTCCTTCCATGTAAGTGATTTTTTATTTACAAAACATACAATTAATTACTTTTTGTTTTTGTTTTCTCCACAGAAATGTTGTTGTTTCCATGTCATTAGAGTCCTTTCCTTTGTCCAAATCTCAGTAACCATTAAAATTGAGCAACGCAAGCACTCATGCCAATAGATGCTGTCCTGTTTTCCTTCCACAGGTTGCGGTCAAAGTTTTGGCGATGAACAGTCCCCGGATCTCAAAACACAGAAAGTCAAACAGTTTACTTTGTCATTTGTCAACTCCTAAAATATAACGCCCTCAGATTTCCTCCTAAGAAAGCAGGAAATCATGTATTGGTCATGGAACACCTCAACCACAAACTTAGCATTTCTGTCACAGGAACTTCCTCCTCCCATACCGCTACCCCGGGTTGACTTTCTTGGTCTTGAATCTTCCCCCAATCTCTCGCCTCTTCTATATAAACGCCCATTCCATTCGTCAACCCCCACCAATATATCCTTCCCTTCGATTCCATCCTACCAAGAAAGGAACCCAAAATCTCTTCCTTGCCTCATCTGTTAAGATCCTAAAACTTCCCTACAAAACCTCGCAGTGGAATTCTTCCTGTACCTTCCTACCTGCTGTCTTCGATGGAGGGAGTGGAGGTCCCTTCCTACTTTCTTTGTCCTATATCGCTGGAGCTCATGAGAGATCCGGTGACCCTGACGACCGGCATCACCTACGACCGCGACAGCATCGAGCGGTGGATCTTTGACAGGAAGCAGAGCACATGCCCGGCCACGAAGCAACCCCTGGAGGACCGAGAGCTCACCCCGAACCACACCCTCCGGCGGCTGATCCAGGCGTGGTGCACCCTCAACTCCTCCAACGGCGTCGATCGGATCCCGACCCCGAGGCCCCCCATCGACAAGGCGCAGATCGCCAAGCTCCTAGAGGAAGCCAGACTGCCCCAGTTCCGGCTTGGCTCCCTGCGGGAGCTTAGGACGATCGTCTCCGAGAGCGACAGGAACAGGCGGTGCGTCGAGGCCACTCCCGGCGTCGTCGACTTCTTGGCTTCCGTCATAGTCAACTACGGATCGGAAGGAGAAACCGGTGATGGCTCGGAGTCCGCGAGCGCTTGCGATGAGGCACTCGTCCTCCTTCAGACTCTTGAAATCTCTGAAGAAGGCCTCCTCGATGTTTTCGTGAAGAACGGCGGCATAATGGAGTCGCTGTCGATGATCCTACGACGATCGAACTACCAGTCGCGGAGCAATGCGATGCTTATTCTGAATTCTTTACTCGGAGTAATCCCGCCGGCTCGATCGATCGGTCTCGGCGGGGAGCTGTTCCAGGAGATCGTGAACGTGGTGCGTGACCGCATCTCACAGCAGGCGACCAAGGCGGCACTGCATGCGCTCCTCAGACTGTGTCTATACGGAAAGAGCCGCGTCAAGGCGGTGGAAGCAGGAGCGGTGCACGCCCTCGTCGAACTGCTGCTCGAGAGCCCCCAGAAGAGAGTCTGTGAGCTGGCGTTGGCGGGCCTGGACTGGCTCTGTGGTTGCGCCGACGGGAGGGCGGAGCTGGTTCGCCACCGGGCGGCCATCCCTGCGGTGTCCAAGAAGATACTCCGGGTGTCGCAGCTGGCGAGCGAGAAGGCGGTGAGGATATTGCACTCGGTGGCGCGGCACTCGGCGACGGCGGCGGTGCTGCAGGAGATGATGAACGTGGGGGTGGTCTCCAAGCTGTGCCTGGTGCTCCAAGTTGGCTGCGGGGGGAAGATGGAGGAGAAGGCCAGGGAGATCCTAAAGTTGCACTCCAGGGTTTGGAAGGACTCCCCATGTTTATCTCCTCTCTACAGCTCTACGTATCCGATGTCATACTGTACATGAAAGATCTCTTTTAGCTTCTTTCGATGGGCATGAAGGCATGTCCTCGAAGCCGAAATAAACCATTTAAGAAGACCCTATGACGTGGTGGGTCCCACTTGCACGACTATTAAAGATGACGTGGTGCTTTCCTAATTCCTTTTGGCATCTGATTCTGGTTTCTGATTGGATTCCGTGCCCAGTGGCGGTGCCCTGCCTCGGCGAAAACGGGTAGGGAGAACGTGCCCGTCGTGGCCACGCTACTGCTACTCTAGCCGTTGGATGATGGTCGTTCCCATCGGACGGATGCGGCTTTCGCGAAATCCTTAATGAAGGGGGAAACGAAGAGAGTCCTTCGAAGGCGGCAAAAGCGGGAACCTCGGAACTCTTCTCCGTCCCTCACTTCTCCGATCGACGACCGAGATCGAGATCGAGATCGACGTGGGGAAACATGGGGCTTCTCTCGAACAGGTACGGATCCTTATTTGGTTGTCGTTTTTGGATCGAATTTTCTCTTCTTTGTGGTTGTTTCGACCTGCTTTTGTTTGAATGATGGATGGCTTTGTTGGACTTGACAATCGGTAAACTTAGGATCGGGAAGGCGAGTTTGAAGCCGGGGGATCACATCTACTCGTGGCGCACCGCTTACATCTACGCTCACCACGGTAAGATTCTGCGATCCATCTTCTTCTCTGTATTTGATTGGGTTATTGAATTATAATTGCTTTGGATGGGCTCCGATGGATGCAATCATGGAATCGTTCTACTTAGTTGTATAATTTGGTACGATTTGTATGAGTTTCGTGTTTGTGTTGGATAATCGTTGGTGATATTTCACGTTTCATGGAATTCTTATCCTTCTGATGAATGTCTTAATTCCCCGTCAACTATGTCTAAAAGACAAATCTTGTTTGAAATCAAATCAGCGGTGGAAAGTGTGTATGATGAAATTGAACACGAGATTTTAAGCTTAATTTTCGATTCCTCCAATTGCGACTTGGATCCACTCTCTCGATGATATCTTTCTATCGAATTTCGTTGTCACGAAGAGAAGGTATATAATTCTGAGTTAGGTGGTTAAAAATGTTTCCTGTTTAGCTTTTTAAGCTTCCCCGTCTGGAAGCATCTTAAAAAAAAAATTTGATGTTGCTTGGAAACCTTTGCATTAGTTTCGATCATTCTTATCGAAAGCCAGCTATATTTTTATCAGCAATATGCTTCTGGATTTTATGCTCCGTCAAGTGCTGCTGGTGCCATGGGTAGTCGATTGCTTCATCACGCACAAACATGGTGAAACGTTTTTCGACATGGCTTGTGGCCTTATATTCTGCTGCGATCTCTTTATTTTAGTTTCCTTGTCATTTTACATGTTCCTGATCTTTCATCGAGCCATGTTTAGATCAGTGATAGCATAGGGTGGTGTTACTATGAGCTTAAGAGGATAGTTATCTCTTGTATGTTAATGTGTTTGTTCCATACATGTTAGAATTCTTTATCTTCTAAATAAAACTATCCAAAAGTGATATTACAATACGTGAAGACCGATTTCCACTGTATTTATGAGGTCATCATATATCAATTTTGGAGATATATATCTCTTGTCAATTCTGTATTATCGTGCAATATGATAGATTCGACTGATAGTGCATTGCTTTCTTTCTACGCTAAGCCATGATCTGTGATATTAGTGAGTTTATTCAGATTCGACTGATAGAGCTTCGGTCTGTTCAGTCTTGACAATTCTTCATAAAATTATGGAAGTTCCTATTATTAAATGTATCCACTTTCAAGTTGAAGAAATAAATTGTTGACGCAAAACTGAAGTACCAATGTTTTACAATTTACTCATAAAGCTTAGGCTTGTTGTTTCAACTTACGATCTCGAGGAGGAGAAGGATCAAGGATAGGATAAATGAATTAGGGACTATAGTTTGTTGAATAATACATTGGAGAGACATTTGATGGTTATAAGTTTGGCTAATTAATTACTTTCTGACTTTTGAAGTTGGCCTTCATCGACTTATAAATGTATTTGATTACCGTAAGCTAGTTTTGTCAAATTGTCGCTAGGTGTTGGCCATCATCATCAACCAACTGGGTGACCTTCCAATATGAACTTTTTTTCAGCATCACTGTTCATGTTTTTAGTTCCATCAAGTTTTCTCTAGTAATTTAGCATTTGAAACTTGTTGGTTATGCACCTAAGCTTGAACAAATCTACTAGTATCAATTGGTTGGCAATGTGTTTGTTTGAATTATAGTACCTGATATTAATTAGAAGAAATGTTTATATAATTTTTGCTATCTAAATTAAAAACAACAGGTATCTATGTTGGTGATGATAAGGTGATCCACTTCACAAGAGGAAGAGGCGAAGAGGTGGGAACCGGAACTGTTCTAGATGTGTTTCTCAGTAGCTCCGGACCCCATAGAGCCCCCTGCTCGACATGCACCAATCAAGCATTGGAGTCGCGTGGAGTGATGTCTTCTTGTCTCAATTGTTTCCTTGCTGGTGGGGTCCTATACCGCTTCGAGTATGGGGTCAGTCCTGCATTGTTTATTGCCAAGGCTCGAGGTGGAACATGCACCCTCGCAGTTTCTGATCCATCTGAGATGGTCGTCCACCGAGCCAAATACCTGCTTAACAATGGTTTCAGATGCTACAGTGTGTTCAAAACCAACTGCGAGGATTTTGCCATCTATTGCAAGACAGGTATTCTTGTGGCAGAGCGAGGAGTGGTTGGACAAAGTGGACAGGCAATATCAATAATCGGTGGGCCACTCGCTGCTGTCCTCTCGACACCGTTCCGCCTCATCACGACCAATGTGTATGGAATGGCGGTGACGGCCGTCGGAGTTTATTGTGCCAGCCGGTATATTGCAGACATTGGCAACCGCATCGATGTGGTTCGGATTCCTGTGGAGGAACTCACGGCAGGACTAGCATCTGGAAGGGTTAGGATAGCGGAGGGTGCAAATCATCTGACTCTGCCTCAATGACAGGAAGGAGGGTAAATCTACTTATTATTATCATCATATGGAACGAATCATTCCTCCTCTCCCTCCTCAGTCTGATTCTGCAGTCTGACAGATACAAGTTATAATAATAATGTGTGTCTTCCTGCCAATCACATCATATATACTGTTTGATGAAATAGATGACTGATTATGGCTTCACTTGTCACGGCACTATCGTGTATATCTCTATTTCTTTGGCCGCCGAATATGTCAGAGCGGATACTGTTGATATATATATATATATATATATATTTGCTTAATAATTTCCTTGCAAATATGTTATTCTGGCAGCATAATAAAATGTGTCCGACATGGTGAATCATCTTTGGTGTCTTGAAAATAAGTCATCTACGGTTGGGATATTATATTCCAATATTATTTGTATATGGAAATATAAAGATATAGATGAGGAGAGATTTGACATGTATAATTTTTATTTATTTAAATAATTAAATACAACTCAAAGTCTCTGACTCCTTTGAAGATTAATCCCAAACAAACAAAAAGAGGTTGATATTTACGTTTCGTATAATGAATGGTATGATGACGTAGGAAGTCACGGACGAGTGGCGGCCACGTTGTCTCACCTGTGCCGACCCACATCGGGTTCGATGCTTGGGGTCCAGAAAGCTCTACACGTCAATAGAAAGGTTCCTTCCTTGTTGTGCACGGGTCCCACCACATCGAGCAAGAGACCAAAATGGCTGCACCCACCCCAAGACACGTCGACAACGTCTTCTTTGCTGCATAATTACGTTCTCACTCTTGTCTCTGTCGTCTCATATATAAAGATCATGACTTATGTTGATCATGCCACGCATGACCTTCTGATTGTGATCGTCACCTTTCGACTTTTGGCGGGCTAATCCTCGTTATTATTATCATTATCTTCATGTGGATAGCATAAGTGGGCCACGTCAGGATAGTTAATCGTGATTAGGAGTTCCTTCTCGTCGGTTGTCGTTACATTCTTCTTGACCATAGACACAAGTCACGAATCTCTCCTTCCCTCCCTCCTTTTTCCGGCTTCCTCCGTGGACCACGTTTCCGTGTGGTAATCTACTGTCCGCTGGCATCTCCTATTTCTTGGTCTTCGGGGAGTTTGATGTCTCCATTGTTCTCAAATTTAGCGTAAAGATCAGATTTTGACGTGAATTGTGGCGCAGAACCTAGTGGAACCCAATAAACGCCTGTCGTTGGCTCTGAAGGTGGTGGTGTTCTTGATTTGGATCACTCCGGGGGTGATGCTCTCTGCCCTCTTTTGGTGGTCTCAAAGCGAAAGGGATAGGAAGATTCCCAGTGAGGTGATGCCACTCACGGATATGGCCCTTTACTTTTGTTCCGAAAGCGGAGATTAGGGCTTTGTGAGTACCTCTTTTCTTCTCAGCTTCTATACCTTGGCGTTGTCTTTTTCTTTCTGTGCCGATTTGGGAGTGAGTTCTAATTTCCGCTAGAACATGATATGATTTGTAGTAATTTTCTCTACTTTTGTTGTTTCCTTCCTTCTGTTTGTCTCAATATCCACTCTAAATTCACAGAGCGGCTTTGGGAATTTGGGTGGATGTTTGTCTTTTGAAGATAATTGTCCTGAAGGAGGAGATTCGGATCCGTGAGTACACTTGCTCCTCTTGTTCCTTGGGATGATTTCCTCGATTGGTGCCCATCTGGGATCGAGATGTTGTCCTTGAGCAGAATGGCGTTGGGAAACTGGATCAAGATCCTGTCTTTATCCGTTCTTCTCGGCTTCGTGTCGGTGGCCTTTGCGACCACCAACCACGGCGACTTCGCCGTGCTTGATGAGTTCCGGAAAGGGTTGACCAACGCCGAGCTCCTCAAGTGGCCCACGAACAACGAAGATCCTTGTGGCCCTCCGCTCTGGCCTTATGTCGTCTGTTCAGGCTCGCGGGTCACTCAGATCCAAGCCAAGAACCTGGGGTTGATCGGGACTCTCCCACCGGGCTTCAACAACCTCTCCATGTTGGTCAATATTGGCCTCCAAGGGAACAAATTGACTGGAGCCTTGCCATCGTTCAAAGGATTGTCTAATTTACAGTATGCTTTCCTCGATTACAATCAGTTCGACTCCATTCCCGCGGACTTCTTCGTCGGACTCGATAGCTTGCGGGTTCTATCTTTGGATAAGAACCGACTGAATCAGAGCACGGGGTGGAAGCTACCATCTGACTTGGCGAATTCAGCTCAACTGATGAATCTGTCTTTGGTGGACTGTAATCTCGCCGGTCCGCTGCCGGATTTCTTGGGAAACATGCGTTCTTTAACTCATTTGAAGCTGTCTTACAACAATCTCACTGGTGAGATTCCGGCTAGTTATGAGGGCTTGCCGTTGCAGACTCTGTGGCTGAACAATCAGGAAGGTTTAGGGTTGTCCGGTTCACTCAAAATCATTACCTCAATGACCATGCTAAATGATGTTTGGCTTCACGGGAATCAGTTTACGGGGCCCATTCCAAGTTCGATTGGCGCCGTGGTTTTCTTGAGACGGATCTGGCTCAACGATAACCAGCTCGTCGGACTCGTACCCGCTGATTTGACGGATTTGCCACAGCTCCAATCACTGCACTTGGATAATAATGCATTCATGGGGTCAATTCCTGCTGTCAGCTTCAGCGATTTTACGTATTCTCACAATTCATTCTGTCAGTCTGCACCTGGAATTCCTTGCCCGGTGGAGGTGGCAGCACTTCTGGATTTCCTTGATGCGGTCGATTACCCGCAGAATCTTGCAAGATCATGGCTGGGAAATGATTCTTGCACTGGGACATGGTTTGGCATATCTTGCTCTAGTGGGAAGGCTTCTATCATAAATCTACCACGCAATCATCTGAATGGCACAATTAGTCCTTCTCTTGGGAAATTGGATTCTCTTGCTGAAATTTTGCTTGGGAGTAACAACCTTCGTGGCATGGTCCCTGAGGAGCTGACCGGCTTGAAGACATTGAAGTTGTTGAATCTTTCTTCAAATGATATTTCACCTCCGGTTCCGCAGTTCCCCCGTGGTGTGACGGTCATACTTGATGGAAATAGGTTGTTGGACAAGTCCAGTTCTACTGCATCACCTTCCGGTGGTGATACCCCATCAGAATCACCGAGCTCGTTAGGTGGCTCATCTTTGTCTTCCAACTCGAAAATTTTGATCATCATTATTCCGGTCATAGTTGGGACTGCAGTTATTCTACTGGTCATGCTGCTTCTTTTCTGTTGGAAGAAGGGGAGAAGGAATACTTTCTGTGCACCAAGTACCATCGTTGTGCATCCTAGGGACTCTTCTGATCCAGACAATTTGGTTAAGATAGTGGTTGCAAATAATGCCAATAACAGTACAGTAGCTAGTGAACTTCGGAGTATAAGCAGCAGTAGCACTGTAGATACTCATGTGATTGAGTCAGGGAACTTAGTAATATCAGTCCAGGTTCTTCGTGCCGCCACACGAAATTTTGCCTCAGAGAATGTGCTTGGCCAGGGAGGATTCGGAGTGGTCTACAAGGGGGAGTTGCATGATGGAACAATGATAGCAGTTAAGAGAATGGAGTCTGGCGTGCTAAATAACAAAGCTTTGGAGGAGTTTCAAGCAGAAATTGCTGTTCTGTCAAAGGTACGACACCGTAATTTGGTGTCTATACTGGGGTACTCTGTGGAAGGCAATGAAAGACTTATAGTGTACGAGTATATGCCTCACGGGGCTTTAAACAAGCATGTTTTCCAGTGGAAGCAGCTGGAATTGGAGCCTTTGTCTTGGAAGAAGAGGCTCAACATTGCATTGGATGTTGCTAGAGGCATCGAGTACCTTCATAACTTTGCTAATCAGTGCTTCATCCACAGAGATCTTAAATCGTCAAATATACTACTTGGTGATGACTACAGAGCAAAAATTTCGGATTTTGGACTGGCCAAACTTGCTCCTGATGGCAAAAATTCCTTTGCGACTAGACTTGCAGGAACTTTTGGGTACTTAGCTCCAGAGTATGCTGGTAAGGGCTTCGTCTCTAGCTTTGGTCAACTTATGGTGATTATGTCATTAAAACAGCAAAAGCATCAAGTATTTTATCATATATTGATTTATGTTTGGCTTGGATGCTTGAGGTTATATCATCTTCTTCTTTGAAATATTTTTGTTAATATTTGTCGACTTTAGTGATGATTAAACAGCTAAATTAGCAGAGAAAATACGAATGAGACAGTTTTCTACTGACCTGCCCTTCTGCTTGCCTTGGAATTATGAGTTGGAGAGACGGGAAAGCCTTTATTGTTGCTGTTTAAGTTTGTCGATTGTAGGTGTTAGCACTAAAATACTTCTAATGACTAGCTTAGTGATGTTTCTTTTTACACTTCTAATTCATAATCCAAAAAATGTCTTTGTGTGAAATCCATGTTTCTCATTTGATACTTATTTTTTCAGAGTCGAAGAAAAATAACCATTAGAGAATAGAAAACCCAGCTTCTTCAATTCCCCTTATGTGCTCATTTTAATGTCTACCTTATTACGATGTCCGCTGAAGAGATCTAAATTCAATAGTTCGCAAGTTAGTTTCGCACGTGTCAATTAATTTTTACGAGATAATGTAGGCAGGTAGGTAATTTGAAATATTTTATAATAAAATTTCACTCGAACATTTGACTTCTGACTTTCTCAGTACTTTGTATGCTTGAATACCATATCATTGTCACCTTTGTCAATGTCGATTGCAGTTTAAAGACAATATGATTTATTTACTATATGTCTTTTTAATTGTATTTTTATGCAAAGTAATCATACTTTTATTTGAAGTGAATACTGCAGCAATACTCTTCAAATCAATCATTATGAGGATGTTTTTTTTTTTTTCCGCTTCCAACTCATTTATTGACACAAATCCTCTTGCCATGGTTGCATCAGTGACTGGGAAGGTTACGACAAAGGTTGATGTCTTCAGTTTTGGAGTAGTGTTGATGGAGCTAATAACTGGTTTAAAGGCTCTGGATGAGGATCGCCCAGAGGAAAGCCGTTACTTGGCATCCTGGTTCTGTCAAATGAAGAACGACAAGGACAAGCTCAAGAGCATCATTGATCCATCACTTGTTGTCACAGACGAGACCTTTGAGAGTATCGGTGTCATCGCAGAACTCGCAGGTCACTGCGCTGCACGTGAACCCCATCAGCGGCCTGACATGGGTTATGCAGTGAACGTGCTCGCCCCACTCGTCGACAAATGGAAGCCTGTCAATGATGATCAGGAGGAATACTTGGGGATTGACCTCTGCCAACCCCTTCTTCAGATGGTAAAGGGTTGGCAAGCAGCTGATGGTGCTTCGGACATCAGTTCATTAAGCCTTGATTACAGCAAAGGAAGCATCCCAGCCAGGCCTGCTGGATTCGCCGACTCTTTCACTTCTGCAGATGGCCGATGAATAAGTTGGTACATCTTGTGTTTCTTGATCTCTTCTTTCGTTTCTCCCGGCAAATTTCCTCCTTTTTCTTGCTTCTCAGTCTGTAAATATAAAGGATTTCTTTGTCACTGTTGGGCGCAGGTCGGTGCTGGGTGTTGTGTTTAGTCGAGGAATGCAGTTTCCTTGTTCATTTAGTTTGCTTTTGAGATGAGCTGATGCAATGGCTCTTGACATCGTTCTGACAAATTTGAGAGTGATTCATGCTTCATCAAATTGATGCAGAGAGTAGAGCGAAAAATAATTTTTTCTTGAGTCGATAAGCACTTCAAATCTCGATCAATCGATGAATATATCTCAGTGGTAGAAGATTATTTATTTATTTTTTTTGTGTTCGATAAGTTCCTTGACTATCAAATTTTCATCATATCAATTTTCCAACTTCTCTATGTTGAATTAAGTTCAGTGAGCACTCATGTCATTTGTCATAAGAATCAAAGAATAGGTCTCATTTGCCCCATTACATATTATTGTCAGAAAGATAATATATCATAGATTGTGAAGCTGTTTGTCAGAAAGAACAGGTCTGATTTTTCATTATTCCTATGACAAATGAAATAAAAATATCAGAAAAACACTGTAATCCAATACAAAAAAAAAACATTATTATAATAATTCATTTACTACATTACAATGTTTTCATATTATTGTTGAAAACACTATGATGCAATGTAAAAACACTATAAACATAATATCTTTATAAAATTTATATAAAAGATATATTGTGTTATAATTTTTTTTTGATATTACTAAAAATAGTATGCCAGTGTAAAAATACCATAATTAGACTATGATCTAATTAAAACCTCAAAAAAAAAAAATCTCCAATAAAGAATGCAACAGATATTAAACGATTCACATTATACTTTTAAACCCATTAAAATCTCCCACGTCGGATCTCGTGAACAGAGGACAGGAGGCGTGAGGCGTGTCATAAAGAGGACAAAGTTTGGCGTCGCGTTCGAGTACCGGTGGTGGTGTCCAGTCCTCGGCCCGCGAGGTTGGAGACGTTGACCGTGCCTCCCTCAGCCCATCCGACGTTTGACCTCACGGACCGCCCGATGTTTGACCTGTCTGTGAAGCCGTGCGCTGCTGCTGCCGCTGCTCCGCTGCCGGACCACGTTAATCCCGAGTCCCCCCATCAATGCGACCACCCTCACGCCCCACGCGCCGGAGTTGCCACGACCGGCCACGTGAGCTGCCTCGCTCCCGCGGGGCCCGCCCACGTTGCCGACGCACCCTCCCAAATCGGCCGACTTCGCCATCCGCGTCCCACGGACGTGGCTTCTCTCGTTCATCGGCTCAAACAGGGTACAGGCTTTTCGGGCAATCGTTTTTCTTCCTTTCTGAGCTTTGAAATCCCGGACCCTGTATTCGTCTCGCCACCGATCTCCACCCGACCCGATCGGGCGTCGAAGTCGCGTCCAAGCGAAGCGAACTCGATTCGGCTCCAACTCGACTGCGAGATTAGATCCGGTCGTGACGTGATTCAGATCCAAATGACACATCACCTTCTTCGTTTTAATTACATTAATGGCTGGTTTGTTTGACTCTCTTAAATGGCTTCATGGGCAAGACGTTGGCATGGTTGCAGGAAGCAGCAGCAAGTTGGCGGCATCGGGGAATGCGAGGAGGAGGCGGTAGGGGGCCGGGACAAAGCTGAGTTGTTCCTGTCTCGAAATGAACACCACCACTGCAGCCATTCGGGTGAGCTGGCCGCGCTGTCCGCCAGCGTCGCCATCGGCGGAGGACCACCATCCGGCACTCCCCATGTGCTCCATGCCTTCCATCTCTTCTCCCTTTCCTCACTCGTGGCGTGAGGAAGAAGGACGAGTTCCCAATCCTCTCTATTACCAGCGACGAGAGACAGACCTAAACGATGAACGCTTCACGTTAGATTCCATCCATGTAATGTATAAGGAGGTATGACCGAGCGTCGTCGTCCTCCTTGCAGTCGTCGTAATAAACAAATCGATATGAAAGATTTCAAGTACAATCATGCTACTGTAAGCCATGGAGCAATCACGCTGTCGATGACTCACCTGCCATCCCCGTCGATCTGCTGTGGTCGCATGCCAACCTGCATTACCATCCACTCTCGAGTTGGTATAGTCGGTGAAGACATACGTCGATCGTCCAGAGTAAAAGTCTGAGATCAATCATATCATTAGACGTCGTTGTGATCATTAAGAATTGCTGACGGGTCGAGGCTTGAGACTCCTATATTATACGTGAAACGAGTACGACTGTCTGGGACCCATCTGCGGTTATATTTGTTGTGGGCAACGACCTTAAGCTGAGCGACCCTTGGGGCCAACGTGATTGGGTTCGGGTCCGAATGATCGAGGATCTTACTGAGCAACCCTTGAGACTGCTGAGGTGGCCGACTGCGGTGGTCCGATCGCGACGGGACGATCGTTTCCTCTGGAAGGGAACTCCTCGCTTGGGCACGCGATGGGAGGCGCTCCGTCTTCGTCCTTGCACACAGGTCGGGTCGGGAAGCTCAACCCGACCCCTTTGACGATCAGGTTAATGGATAGTCTTAGGGGGTTTTTGCTTTTGTTTCTCCTCCTCCTTCCCTTCCTAAGCGCGAGGGTATTTAAAGAGAAGGTTACCGTTGCCTGATGTACCTGCTTGCAGGGAGTAGGATCATACTCCTGGTAACGTCTAACACCGGTGTTGGCGTGGCGTGAAGGACCGGGCTCGCGTAGGATGTTAATAGGCCTCGGTCGGCGTTCTAATCGGGTTTGGCCAGGCACTATCAGGTCAACCGAGGCGTGAGGCATCATCCAGGCGTAGCTGACGTTAACTCGCGTCTCATCGCCATTATTGCCCTCATCACCGGGCTTGCGCAAGACGTGGCGTGCCCTGGTCTCTGTCTCGATCAGGCGCGTTAAGTCAAACCGAGGCGTGGATCATTATCTTAGAGGAGCTGATGTCAACGTACGTCCTGATGAGGGTAATAATTAGGGTAAGACTCGCATGACATCTGCTAGCCCAGATGACGCCCCACAGGCCGACAACACCTGGTCAACATGGACCGGAACGCCTACCAAGGCACATTAACACTCCCCTCCGGTTCGATCCCTCACGCCACGCCAACGATGACGTCAGACGCCACCAGGAGTACGATCCTGCTCCCTGCGGGCAGGCACACCAAGTAACGATAATTCTCACTATAAAAACCCTCGCACCCTAAAAGAGGGGAGGGAGGAACAAAAAAAAACCCATACTACTTTTCACTAACTGGATCGTCGGAGGGGTCGGGTCGAGCCTCCCGACCCGACCTATGTGCAGGGACGAAGACGCCTTCCATCGCGTGCCCAAGCGAGGAGTCCCCTCGTAGAGGGAACGACCGACCCGCCCCGATCCAACCACCACGGTCGGCCACCTCAGCAGTCTCAAAGGTCGTTCCAGGAAGATCCCCAATTATTCGGACCCGAACCTAGTCGCGTCGGTCCCGAGACCACGACTTAAAGGTTGTTTACACTAACACGTCCCATCGCCATTATTGCCCTCATCAATATTTACGTGAGTTACATACGAACACACTTCACTCGGGCTAACCATTGTTGCGGTGGGGTTCTCTTCCCAAATATTCTCATCGCCCGCTGTAGCGGGGAATCCGAATACCTAAACTAAATCCAAACATGCATGCCGATCCATTGTGTTCCCTCTCACATGATCGCGGGGCCCACACTCGTCGCTGAGGTTGCAACGGGTCGTGGATGCTCCGCTGTGCCGTACGCCGTTTGCCGCTTCCGTCTGGCTTTAAGGTGCGTGAAATCACCTGATCGGTGCCTTCAAGATTCACACCACGCTTCCTGTCAGCTTCGGGCGAGCAAAGACGAGTGGTTTTACATATCTACCCTTTTGAAGTGCCGAGATGACATAAAACACACCTTTTCCTGTAATATTAGTTTTTAGGATCAATTATCATCCAAATTAAAATTTATTAACACTTATTTAATATCCGGCTTTACTCATTCAATTCGTATTAATAATTTAAAATGGCCTTTATTGTCTTTATAAATATATATATATATATCTTATATTTTCGAAAGCGGAGGCCACATTAATGGCAATCACAGCAGCGGAGGGCTCCGCGCTGCGGTCTGACATCTCCCTGTCTCACGGCATTACATGTCGCTCCCTTCGTTTTAACTCAACCCACCAAAAGACCCACCCCAACCCTATGGTTAGCTACTGCTCTCCTTCCCTCCCCGTCGCTTCACCCACTCGCCCTCCTATAAATTATTCATTGCGGCAATTTAAAATTAGTGCCACGGCGAGACTGAGCGAGTGTGAGTAAAAGAGGAAAGAGAAGAAATAAAGAGGAGAGACAGAAGAACCCAAAGCGACCAACAACCCTCGTTCCGACGCGCGAGGCGCCGAATCCCCGGCCGCATTGCCGTCCTCGATCTACATCCGTATCCGGAGAGGCGATCGGATCGTTCCCCGAGGTCAGGTTCCGGCTCCGGGGAGCTTGTTACGGCGAGAGATCGGGAGATCCGACTGCCGAAAAGCATTGCGTGTTAGAAGGTGATGATTGAGATCGGCGCTTCGATCGATTTCGTATGGTGAGTTCCAATCGCACTCGGAAGTCAGGATTGATTTCTTTGGGCTTTGTTTTCTTACAGTGCCAGTTCTGGATCTCAGTGCCCTGAAATGGAAGCTGTTGTTCTTTGATTCGATGTGATCCGAGGAGCTGGAGGGGATCTGACTGATTGATCCATGGAGCAAGGCATCTCGAGTTGGGATTGAGAGACAGTAGCGACGCTTTATCTTCGAGGACAAAAAGGATTCGGCTCGCCGAAGCGGTTCTTCTTGAAGCTCGTGAAGGATCTGTTATTCTTTTCGTCGTTCCGCTTTGTGGATCGGACTCACGGAGTCGAGAATGGATAAGTATGAGATAATGGAACAGATCGGCCGGGGAGCCTTCGGTGCTGCGATTCTTGTGAACCATAAGCAAGAGAAGAAGAAGTAAGTCTGATAAACTCAGTGACCCCTTTTTGGAGCCTTCTTTGATCGATTGCTCGGTGTCTTTCGGATTTCAGGTATGTTCTAAAGAAAATCCGGCTCGCGAGGCAGACTGAGCGGTGCCGGCGATCTGCTCATCAGGAGGTCTGCCAAAGAA